CAGCCTTCCAAGTAGCCGGAACTACAGGCGCGCACTACCACGCCTGGCTAATTTTTTGATTTATTGTAGAGATGAGGTCTCGCCAAGTTGCCCAGGTGGGTCTCGAACCCGCGGACTCAGGCTATCCACTCACCTCGGCCTCCCAAAGCACGGGATTACAGGCTGAGCCACCAAATCCGGCCTCTTTTCCTTTAAATAATACTGTTTATGCAACTAGTAATTCAAGGTAGCACAATATTTTTAATACTTTTATAAATATGTCATCGAACATAAAAATTGAAATTGAAAATATAATAATATACCACAGAATTTTTATAGTAAATTTTATAGTAACAAAAAATAAAGCAAATCTTCACCAATGAGGGGAACTACTCAATTATGATATATTCTTATTTCTCACTACTTGCAACCAATAAAAATTATGGTTTTTTTTCTCTTGTATACATTGTGAAATGGCTAATTTGGTCTAATTAACATATGAATTGCTTCTTATACTTATACTTTTTGTAATTAGAATGCTTAAAATCTTTTCTCTCAGTAATTTTCAAGATTGTAATACACTGTTATTAACTATAGTAACCACTGTTATCCAGCCAGTATGTTAAAGGTAGTCTTCGACTTAAAATATTTTGTATCCTTGGACCAACATCTCCTCAACATTCCCACCCCCACCTTCCCAGCCCCTAGTAGCCACCATTCTACTCTCTACTTCTGAGTTCAACTTTTTTTAGATTCCATACGTGAGATTATACAGTACCTGTCTTTCTGTGTATGGTTTATTTCACTTAGCATAATGTCCTCCAGGCTCATCCATGTTGTTGCATAACACAGGATGGTTTCTCTTTTAAAACTGAATGGTATTCCACTGTGTGTATACACCTCATTTGCTTTAACCATAACCTGCTGATAGGCCCTTAGGTTGATTCTGTATTTTGGCTATTGGGAGTAATGCTGCAATGCACATGGAAGTGCAGATACCTCTTTGATATACTGTTTTCATTTCTGTGAGAGGAATACCCAGAAGTGGGACTGCTGGATCATGTAGTAGTTCAGTTTTTTCCGGAGTCTTGATACTGTGTCCCATAAGTAGCTGCACTATTTACTTTCCCACCAGCAGGACGCATGGTTCCCTTTTTTCCACATCCTTGCCAATACCTGTTATCCCTCATCTTTTCTATAAAGGTCATTCTAATAGGTGTGAGATGATACTTCACGGTAGTTTTAATTTGCACTTTTCTGATGATTAGTAATTTTCAGCATTTTTTAAATACCTGCTGACCACCTGTTATGTCTTCTTTTGATAAATGTCTATTCATATATTTTGCCCATTTTTAAGTCAGATTATTTATTTTCTTACTATTGAGTTGTTCGAGTTCCTTATATGTTTCAGATAATAGACCTTTATCAGATGTATGGTTTGCAAATATTTTTTCTTATTCCACAGGCTGCCTCTTCACTCTGTTGACTCTTTCTGTGGCTATGCAGAAGCTTTTTAACTTGATATAATACCATTTTGTCTACTTTTGCTTTAGTTTTCTGTGCTTTGGGATTCATATACAAAAAAATCATTACCCAGATCAATGTCATGTAGCTTTCCCCCTATGTTTTCTTCTAATGGTTTTACAGTGGCAAGTGTAAAATTTAAGTATTTAATTCATTTGAGTTGGTTTTTGTATATGGTATCAGGTAAGGGTATACTTTCATGTAAATATCCAGTTGTCCCAACACTGTTTATTGAGGACACTGTCCTCTCTCCACTGTGTGTTCTTAGAACCTTTGTCTAAAAATCAATTGACTGTAAATGTGTGGATTTACTTCTGGACTCTCTAATTGGTTCCATTGGTCTACATCTCTGTTTTTATGCCAATACCATGCTGTTTTGATTACTACAGCTTTGTAGTATATTTGAAGCAAGACAGCATGATACCTACATATTTGTTCTTTATGCCCAAGATTGCTTTGGCTATTTGAGGTCTTTCATGATTCCATAAAAATGTTAAGATTTCTGTAAAATATGTCATTGAAATTTTGATAGGGACTGCACTGAATTTGTAGATTGCTTTAGGCAGAATGAACAGTTTAATAACTTTAATTCTGGCTGTGCATGGGATTAAAATTTACTCATTTTTCATTATTAAATTATTTATTAGTGATTTCTTTAATTTCTTTTATTAACATTTTACAGTTTTCAGTGTACAGCTCTTAACTTCCCTAGTTACGTTTATTGTTATTTTATTTATTTAGTAGCTATTATAAATGGGATTTATCTCTTGATTTCTGTTTCAGATAGTTCACTGTCAGTATATAGCAATGCTACTGATGTTTGTATGTTTATATTATATCTTATGACTTTCCTGAATTCATTTATTAGTTTTAAGAATTTTTTGATGAGGTCGTTAGAATTTTCTACATATAAGATCATGTTATCTGCAAATACAGACAACTAAACTTCTTCCTTTTCAATTTGGATGCCTTTTTTTCCCCCCTTGCCATGTTGCTCTGTCTGGGACCTATAATACTATGTTGAATAAAAAAGTGTTAAGAGTGAGCATCTTTGTCTTGTTCCTGCTCTTAAAAGAAAAGCTCTCAACATTTCACCACTAAGTAGATGTAATTTGTGACCTTGCCATATCACCTTGCCATATATTGTGCTGAGGTACATTACTTCTATACCTAATTTGTTGGGAGTTTTTTTTTTTTATCATAAAAGAATTGAATTTTGTCAAATACTTTCAGCAACTATTGAGATGACTATATGATTCTTAACCTTCATTCTGTGAATGTGGAATACTACATTTATAGATTTACATGTATTAGTCCATCCTTGCAATCCTGAAATCAGTCCCACTAGATCATTGTAAATTATTCTTTTGATACGTGGCTGAATTCAGTTTGCTAGCCTTTTACTGGGGATTTTTGTAGCTATATTCATCAGAGATATTGGCCTATAATTTTATTGTTTTACAATGTCCTTGTCTGACTTTGTTAACAGGGAAATGCTGGTCTCATAATAATGAGTTTGGAAGTCTTTCCTTTTCTTCAGTTTTTGAAAGAGTTTGAGAAGGATTTGTATTATTTCTTGAAATGTTTGGTAGAGTGCAGCAGTGACGCCTGGGGTGTTTCTGGGCTTTTCTTGGATGGGAGACATTTTGTTACTGATTCGTTTTCTTTCTCATTATTAGTCTGTTCATGTTTTCTAGTTGTTCATGATTCACTCTTAGTAGAATGTGTGTCTAGAAATTTATTCATTTCTTCTAGGATATCCAATTTGCTGGTATGTAATTGTTTAGAGTAGTCTCTTATGATCATTTGTATTTCTGTTGTATCAGCTGTAATACCTCACCTTTCATTTCTGATTTTAGGTATTTGAGTCTTCTCTTTTTTTCTTAGTCTAGCTAAAGATGTGTCAATTTTGTTTAGCTTTAAAAAAAAACCACCTCTTAGTTTTATTGATCTTTTTTTTTTTTAGTCTTTATTCTACTTATTTCTATTCTGTCATTATTATTTCCTTCTTTCTGCTAACTTTGGGCTTTGTTTGTTTTTAAATTTTTTTAATGACATGATAAAATACTCAGGGTCTATTAAGTGAAAAAGACATAAGTAAAAACTCTGGCTGCAAATTATTCCAATTGTGCTTTTTAAAGTTTTAGGAATAAAAAAAATTTCCAACATAAAAAACAACAGTGGTTATTTTTATAGAGTAAAATTAAGGATAATTTTTCAAAAACCATTTATTTTACTGTAACATAAAAGTGTATAAATCTTAAGTGATTAAGTTTAATGAACTTTTATTAAATACATAAACCTGGGCAACCATCAACTCGGTCAAGAAATAGATCACAAGCAGCATTCCAGAAGTCCTCCTGTGTACCCACTCAAAAACTATCACTCATTAAAAATAACTTGGTATACTGACAACTAACATTAGAGATTAATTCTAACTGTTTTTGAATGTTATGTAAAAAGAATCATCTGTTCTGGCTTTCTTTGCTTAATTCATCCATGTTGCTGCATGCAGCAATAGTTCATTCAATTTCATTGCTGTATATTTCACTGAACAATTATACCACAATTTGTTTATCCATTCTTTTGTTGACTGGATCGGGTTGTTTTTAGTTTGAGGCTATCATAAATAATGCTAATATGAACATTTTGTACATACTTTTTGGTGAACATATATGTGTATTTCTGTTGAACCTATTCCTAGGAATAAATTGTATCCTAGGGCATTCCTGTGTCCTGTTGAATTCAGTATTTCTAAAGTGTTTTCCTAAATAGCAGAACCAGTTTACATTCCCCAGCAGTAGTGTATGAGACTTCTAGTGGTTCCACATCTAATCTAACACTTGGCAATGTCTCTCCTTCGTGTTTTGGTCTTTGGGGTGAGAATATAGTGACATCACACTGTAATACATATATATTTTAAAAGCGAAATCAAAAGCATGAGGGAACCCTTCCTAACTTGAATAAAGGTATGTGCACACACACAAATACTTAATTTAAAAAGACAGTATCTGGCTGTAGACAGTAGACATTCTTGCTGCTGCCCTGCCCACTGTGCCCTTCATAGCATATCTTCTCTTTAATAAGTCTACCTTTCTTAAAAAAGAAAAAAAAAAAAGTACCTATATAGTTCCTAAAATGTTAACATTTAAATTTTCCATCAAAAAGATCAAACGTATATCTTGCAAAATACCTTTATCTTGGTATGGGGAAAGATTAGGAAATCTTTTACTTAATTATTATTTGACAAGTATATACTCTCTGGACACTGTACTATATTCAAGAAAAACACTATATTACAATTTAGTTTACTCGAAATAAAACTTAATACACTAATAACCATTATTTACTATGAAACATAAAACAAAAGATCATACATTTCTAAATAACTAAGAACATTAATACAGATTAATGGTACAAATACATATATTAATATAGATTAAGAAACAAAAATATTAACAGATTATTTTCCATGTTTTTCTCCTATAAAAGAGTACCTGGTTTGAGGCAATCCAAAACTCGTTCCAATGCCAACACGAGGTAGATAGTTAACTACTTTCTTTACTGTCGCAGGGTCTGGGAAGTTGAACATTACAGCAACTATGACAAATAATATTTAAAAATTAGAACACAATATGATTACTCTTCTGGAAAACTAACTTCTTGCTCAGAAAAAATATTTATTCTTAATTAAGGTATCTATTAAATGCAATTCTTAAAATATTCCTTTTTTTTTTTTTAAGTCGGAGTCGCAATGTTGGTGCAGTGGCATGATCACAGTTCAAAGCAGCCTTGATCTCCTAGGCTCAGGTGATCCTTCCACCTCAGCCCACAGAAGCTGGACTAGAGGCAAACACCACCATGCCCACCTAATATTTTTATTTCTTTGTAGAGATGCAGTCTTGTTATGTTGCCCAGGGTGGTCTCAACCTCCTGGACTCAAGCAGTCCTCTCGCCTGGACCTCCTTAAGTGCTGAGATTACAGGCATGAGCCACTGCACTCAGCCTGTATTCCTTTTATTATAGTGGTATATTAAGTTTTAGCATTAATATGCCAGAGGTGATATTCATTTCACTTATAAATTCCTTTACCATAGGAAGTTCTTTCTCTAAAACCATCAGGATTTCTAACAGTTACTACATTAACATGACATGAAACAGAGAAACTAAGATTGTGTGACATGAAATTACAACTTTGAATTTACAAAGTTGTATCTTTGCAACTCAAATATACCTCTATGAATTTCTAGAGACAACTGTTCAAAATTTTAGGTTCCACAGTTAACAATATAACACCAAAAACTTTTAAAACATTTACTTACAAGGTTCATATGTTTACATTTCATACGTAGAATCTAGAAAGATGTGTTGCCTGAAGGAAAATTTTTCCTCTATGGCTAATAATAACATTTAAATGCTTTCTGATCACTTCTATTGAAATAATTACACATACGTGAGAATATCAAGAAGTACATGTCAATATATAAACATATTTAGCATATAACTTTTCATATATGGAATTCATCTATAAATTATTATTCATCTTTGAAAACATGAAACTAAAATCATAAAATTATGAGAGAGAATTTGGAAGATAGCCAATTGGTCAGTCTTGAATTCTTAATTATATGTTAACTTCAATATCAGAACCGTAGGTAACCTACAAGTGCTCATCTAGAAGATGACCCTTCTTTTCTACCTGGTCTGAAAAAAAATACTTGAAGTCAAAAATAAGTAAATAAATTATCAGTGTTGCTGCAGCTTTTTGACACTGGCATCACCAGAACCTTACAGGTAAATATTTACCTCATAGGTAAATATTTAATAAAGTTGAATATGCTGTAGGTGCTTAGTAAATGATCAGTTACACATGCACGCGCACACACACACACACACACACGCACACACACATACATACTTCCTTTAAATAAGCCTTCCTTAAATATCTACTGTTACACTGTTACACTGAACATAGTTGAAAAAACTGAAGGAAAAACCACCATAGGTTATGGCAAATGATCATGGCCATGAGAAAAAGGAAACAGAAAAACACAGATACAAAAGCAAGCATGCATAAGCAATTTCAAAGAAGGAAAATGAATGAGGATGTACAAGTAATAAATATTGTAGGATGGAAACCCCCTTGGGATAGCAAGACTGCAGACTGAACTAAAGTGTGAAACATTCATTTGATTATTTGCCTAGAAGAATAATGTTTACACTAGGAAAAAGGTATGTAGGGGGAGGAGACCAAATAGGAAAGGGAAAAACATCTTTCCTTAAAGAAACTTGAATTCCATAAAGACACATACTTTCTTAAGGGAAAACTAAATGTATACATGAAATAGATGCAGTTACATGTAGATTTTTTAGATAGAAACTTATAGATGACAGAAAGAATAAGAAACCCCAACCCAAGTATGTACAAGGAGTATGTACAATAAATCAGGTTTTTATATATATACATACACACACACACACACACACACATATGCACAATGGTATATAAAATGTGTGTGTGTATATATATATATATATATAAAATGGTATATATATCAGAAGGTTTTATACATATGTATATACATATATATAAAAATATATATATACACACACCATTGTATGCCACCACTCATACCAAATGATGCTTTTCCTCCAAGTTCAACTTGTCTCCCCTTCTTGTTTTAATGGATTTCAACCAGTACAATTCTAAACCCGCAAATTAAATTTTAGTTCAACTTTTAAGAATGATGTTAATACAAAGCAACCAAGACAGTTCAGTACCATTTTCTCATAGCTCCTTTATAAAAACAATATATTAGATGAAAGAATAAATGTTTGAATCATATGATCATCCTCTCCACTGCCCTAATGCAACAACCCTCCAGAAGGACTTGAAGCATTAAACAATCTCAAGGACATCAAAACTCTTCCAAAACTGATTAAATGGTTATGCATTCCCCATATTTATAAAGCCTTGCACCAATTTCTTATGTGGCCAGAAAAACAAAAGAACTACAAATGATTCTACAAACGATCAATGAGGAAAAATACAATGAAGATGTATGCAGTACAAAAAAAGAGGTCAGTAGGGCAGAGGGTAGACTTCAAAACGCTATTTAAGACAACATGGTATATCCAAACATGAAATCTTGAGACGAAAGTTAGCTCTGTAACAATGCATTTCTGTAACATATTACCTCTGTTTGCCATAAAGATTTCCAGGGCTGTATTTTGCAAAAGATAACGACGAGAAAAGATTGATCGTATCTCTGTGAATAGCCATTTTCCATGCAGTCCTTCTGTATATGCCAGGATCTAGTGAGGAAAAAATAATCCCAAGTAAGTGACAATACCAGATTTTTATTGTTGTTTATTTCCCCAAATAAAACAGAAAAGACCCTATTAAGAGAAATATTTTCTAAATTAAAGTATTTAATGGTTATTGAAATTATTTGGAGAGATTAAGAAAATGGATTGTAATTTATGGAAAAGGCAAAGGTCCTCAAAAACAATGATGCAATCTATTGCTTCTCAGGAAATAAAATGTTTTATCATTTATTGACTGACTTTTAAACAATATTAGGAAAATGTTCAGATAAAGCCTAAAAATATGGACAATCTAAAAAAAAGTGACATATGCTTATAAACATACACAATTCAAATTCACATGATTATAATTTGCCCAGTAGTACTTCTTACATGGATTAAATTATATAAATAAGTTCAAAACTTTTAAAAAATGACACTTTTAAGGTGACTGTTAAGGCAACAGTCACTCATTCAAAAGCACAAAAACTCACTGTATAAGAGGTTAAGTATCATTTTGTCAGCTAAGGCTAAACACAAACCTGCAAATGAACTCAGCATAATCTCTCTGTGGAGTACGTGGTTGTCAGAGTAACTTGTTACAATTCTTGTCATCTCATGTGACAGACACAGTTGCTTAAAATGCTTTGCCAATTCAAAGTAATCCTGTCTTTAGTCGTAAGCCACTTTGTTGCTTTGTTATTCAAGTTTTGTTTTTCAAAAAGTTCATTTCAAAAGCTTAATTATGGAAATGTTAAAGGAAAACCAGATTTAGCATTTCTCTACACCAGTACTATACATAATATCAATAAATGAGATACACTCGCTATCAAACCTGATGAAAAGCTATGAAAGCAAATTAAGTTAAAAATTAAGATATAGTCTTAAAGGTAATCCCCATTAAAAATGTAAATGAAACAATACTTGGTTATGATATTGCATTGTATGAATAAAGATGGGATGAACAAAGAGAAGAAAAATAATGAATAGGATGAATTAATCCCTTTACAAAGTTCTTTTTTTTTTTTTTAAACTCATTTCCATTTTCCAAATCCTAATTGCAAACAAATCTACATTCTTCAAGGCAGTTTCTTTTTGGAGGGGGGATCTTATTTAATTCAGTAAGTATGTATTTCAATTTTTCTACAAAAATCATCCTTTTTATGATACTATAGAATCTAGTAATTGAAAGAAGGGTACAACTCTGAGGTGTAGTGTTTTTTGAAAAGAAAAATGTTGAAAGGATAAGACAACCAATTATGCTTTCAGTTTTAAAAACAGTGACAGAGAAATCCTACTAATTCAGTAATAGAACCAATACCTGCGTTAAGTAAAATCAACAAAAATGAACAGGAAAAGACAGGCAAAAGTACTAATATTACTCTCAAGAATTCTGAAAGCAGATACTGCATGTATCCCTTTCACCATGACCAGAGACACAGTCAAGTGGTCCAAGCCCTCAGTGTCTGCAGAGGCCTCACGTTTAGTCTCCTATTCTTACTTCTGGAGTCTTCTATGATCAAAGCAACACTCCCACCAAAAAAAAATTTAATATAAATCAGTTTATATCGTTTCTGTATTTAATACCACCCAGTGACTTCCAATTACAAGTAAACTCCTAAACTCTTTATAACTGCCTACAAAGACTTACATCTAGAACTCTTGATCCCACCTCATTTTACCTCAAGACCTTGTTTTCCCCTCTGCCGGGAATGTTCTCTCAAATCTCCACATGGTTGGCTCATTCTCCCATTTAGATTTCTGCTCTTATGTCACCTCCTCAGGGAAGTCACAGAATCTAAGCCCCACTTTCTCCATTACCAGCTCAAGTTCATCCCATGCCAAACTCATCAGAATTTCTTCATAATGCTTATCACTGCCTGCATTTGTGATATTTGCTTGCTTGTCGATTGCCTCTTCAGCACCAGAACACTAGAATCTGAGTTCTTTTGGAGCAAAGATTTTGAATCACTCTGTTTTCACTGCCAAGCAAAACAGCTGGTACAAAGTATAAACTTTCTGAATGACTGAATGAATCAGTGCATGGCAATCTAAATCCCATATATGGCCCAAATTCATTTTGCTTGACCCACATTATATTTTAACAATATTTCAAGTAGTTGAAATACTTATGAAAAGTGATATTAACATAAATATTCAGATTTTGGACTTCTCAAGAAAAACTGGAATATTTAGCAACCCTGGGTCCATATGCCACGTTTAACAATTGGCATGCACTCTGTTTTGGTAGTTTCCACTTCACTCATTACTACCTAGTTTCCATCAGTATTTGAGTTTGCCACCCTGGATTTATCAAATATTAGGGAATCTAATATCTGCTCTGTAACACATATAGTCCAATGCATTCAACAATTCTAGTCACAAGGAAAAAGAGGCCCAGACACACTAAATATTTAATACAAAGTCCCTTGGCAAGTGAGTGGCAGAGTCTGGTCTACTCTAAGATTTTCTAATCCAGAAATTCAGAGCTTCCAGTATATACCACATTGTCACATGTCTAAAAAAGGGGGGTTAAATTTTTTTTTTTTTTTTTTTGAGTTGGAGTCTCACTCTGTCACCCAGACTGGAGTGCAGTGGCTGCTCCCAGCCACTGCAGCCTCGACCTGCTGGGCTCCAGCGATCCTTCCGCCTCAGCCTTCTGAGTAGCTGGAATTACAGGCGTGTGCTACCACGCCCAGCTGATTTTTTGATTTACTGTAGAGATGAGGTCTCGCCAAGTTGCCTAGGCGGGTTTCGAACCGGCGGGCTCAGGCAATCCACTCACCTCAGCCTCCCAAGGCGCGGGATTACAGGCTGAGCCACTGAGCCTGGCACATATTTGTTAAAATAGAACCCAATTAATTGGAAATTTTAACCAACTACATTTGTTTTCTTCACTTGAGTTAAAGACGAAAAGGAAAATAAGAATAAAACAAATGATCCAAAGCCAAAGCTTTATGATATACTAGGACTATCACACACTGATCTCAAAAATCTACCTTTTGTCTCTATAGAGCCCTATAATAAGACCTGTTGTTCATAATGATGAATCACTGGAGAGTCATGGTCATGCAGCCAAAGATTTAAACATATTGTAGATCACTCCATTTATTTTATTTTAGAGTTATGGGGTACAAATGAGGATTTGCTACATAAGTAGGTTGTATGCAGGTGAACTTTGGGTTTCCAGGTAGCCCTCCCTTCCCCTGGTAGTAAACCAGGTATCCACTGGGTTGCCATATGCTACCTTGCCTTTTCCCTCCCCCAACAGTCCCCAGCATCTGTGATTCCATGCTTGTGCTGGTGTCACTAGTAGATCAATCCATTTATTAGCCGACATGGGTACATTAAAGCATTAGTACATAATTTTAATGTACTGAAATAGTTCTCTGATTAATCAAAACATTCCATTTATATTCCATTCCCTTATGCAGTATGATTATTCATACTTGAAGTGTAGCAAGTGTCTTTAAAATTTGCGTTATTACTAAGTGTCAGAAATAAGCAAACGTACAGAAAATGACATAAGTTCCATAGAGTCAGTAATCAGTAATCCTATAAAATCCAAATATTCTGCCAACTATTGCATATGTATACATAAAATTAATGAAAAAGCATTAAAGATTGTACTGAAATTCATGTGAGAGCCCTTCCTGATCCTATTTTCCTCCTTTGTCAGAGACAATCACTATCCTTTTGAGGCTGACCATTCCCATGTCAATTTCTATACCATTAGTATATATATCCATAAATAACATGCAGCATTGTTTTGTATGTTTTCAAACTTGATATAAACTGCATCATACTGAATGCATGATAATGTTTTTTCCAAGTTAAATATAAGAAGGTTTAATAAAGTTTTTGAAATTCAGAGAAAGAAAAACAGGAGAGGAGACAATTATTTAAAATTGCCAAAGGTGTCAAAAATTGTCAAATTATTTAAAATTGCCAAAGGTGTCAAAACTTAAAATCTTGCACATAAAAAACTAGCCAAAATTTTAAAAAACTAACAAATGCAATTCCACAGTTATAGTCAAGATAGCTGAGGTTTAAAATAGAAACAAAGAGTCACTTAACCAAAGAATGACCAGCTGAAATTTATATAACATTTCCTTAAAGTATTCATTAGGAAAAGGTGTCAGTAGTGAAAAGCAGCTGAGGCCTATCTAAGCAAAAGGTTCATTTCTTATTGGAAGAGTATATGCCTGGTCCAAGGCATCACTTCAAAGTCTCTAGAGTTCAATTAAAACTGGATTAGGTGGAAACAGACCCTTCTTTGGGACTTTCTGTTCACTGAAACTCTACATACACTGACAGCACCCTAGACAGAGGTCTAGCCCTCCAATGAATCAGTCACCATGGAAACCGTATCATTATCATTGCTCTGCAGTTATGACCCTAACTCTAGAATAGCTTGAAATCTTCTCTCTCTTTGAATGTTTTCCACCTTGTTAGTATTATTAGTTAACTAAATTTTCAATTTATTTCAGCAAAGTTAGTTTATTAGCTGAATGCTGATGTATGGTGTTAGAAGAGGGGAAAAAATCAGTTATTTAATTTATATGTATAGTATTACACACACACATATAGTCTATGTCTTTACATTAAAAAAACAAACATCTTTTTTAAATTTTAAATCTGAAACCTGTGCCTTCTGAAAAAGAATATATTATTTTCCTCAAATAATGCACACATTTTTTCTTTCTATCCCACAAATAGCATCCTATGAATAAACAAAATTTCTATTTGATACACTTATTCTTTACTAGTAAACAAAAAGCATTTTTCACTTTCTCTTTATCAGTCATTTTGCAAAGGCTTATAAATTTACCCAAATAAAAGTCTTGTTTTCTCATTCTCATAAAAGAAAAAAATAGAAACCTGCATTTACTCTCCAACTATATAATACTCTTATTTACTAAATATTAGGCATTTTAAAAAGTTGATTTAAAATAGTTAAAGCCATATTTCTTTAAGTAAATGAAAAACAGCTTTTGTTTCAAAAACTA